GTTTAATGTAATTGAATGAGCTAACTTTCGAAGACCATTTCGTTTTGGATAGAGAAGTAATCGCTTCATAGTTAGAACATGAAAGCATTTACATTCTGTCATTGCGGATCCCCAACGCCAAACGTATTTATGATACCGATAAGCTTCGACACCTATAATTTACGCTCCGCTTGCTATGCTCCGACTGAGTTATTAGAAAAAAAGGCCAACAGGACACCATTTTGTTAGAAAAACCTTTATAGCCGCTGTAGTTTTTTGAGTTCGACACGAATTTTTCATACAAGTAGAACTTTTTCATAAGTAGAAGTCTTTTTAGTCGTTATTCTTTAAAACTAAGTAATTATGCCTGTAAGGCTTTAGCGACAAGTGCCCAACTTGACTATAATTAAAAGTCCCCGAAGAATGCAATCTATTAGGTCTGCATCTAGAAATTTCATCGAGCTTACGTCGTAGCCCTCTATCAGTCCATGCACGGTGCCAATGGCACCCTCCTATGCAAATAAATCCTAATATTCTATGCAGTGGCCTTCTTATAAGGTCAGACCAAGTCGCCTTTTCAGTTGGTTTACAGCGATTCCTTTACTGAACTGTGAGAGTAAATATTTATGCGTTTGATTAGAGAAAAGCAGACGCGACGCTTGCTACATGAGTATTATAATACGTATGCATTAAAGGATTTGTTTTCAAAACCAAATGCTCTAAATAGGCATAAATCTCGACTCGGTTGCTACATCGTTGGCTGGGCAGTAATCAAATGTTTGCTAATTGAGACGTTTTTTGCTGTACGTACATATTGTCCAAACAGAAGTAGAAATTTCTCGTTTGATTTAACTAATTTTTAAATAAAAATCTTAAATAAAGAAGTATTAGGCAATGAACAAACAGTTTTGATTAGCGAAATTGTGGCTACTTATTAGCAATGGGCATGTCGAAATCCGAATTCAAGTTGTCTTTGAAAATCAGGACGACATGTTTCAATAGATAATAGTTTTTTTACGTTGGAGGAAGTTGTTGAAGACTGTCGTAAGCGCGTCATAAGTGTATGAGTATTTAACAGCCATAAAAAGTGTAGTTGAAGCCGGTGGACTTCCTTGAAAGAAAAAAATTAGTTCAACTTCTGTGCGGACGACGATCTATCGACAAAGAATTGATAACGACACTAATAAAGATATTACAGTAGAGTTATAGGCCTCGGGAGGCAGGGGGAGACACCTTCTATGACAGGGGGCAAATACTATTAAAAAGGCCAACAGGGCCAAAGGAATACATATGAGTAGAGGCTAAATGGCTATGAAGCCAAACGCATACCTGTCGGTCTTCTCGGTCGATTTCTAAAAAACTTCAGAGACGCAAGTTGTTAGGCAGTGCAGGTCACAAATGGAAGGCACTTTGACCTTCCTCGTTGATCTTCTGCAATTCTCTCATTACCCTATTTTTAGTGATTTACTGCATTACTTTAGTTCCTCCATTATATTTTTTTTTATTTTATCGTTTTGGTCGCTCAGTTATTTGCGGCCACCATTTCTCATTGTATTAAGAGTTTACATAAAAACGATGCTCCATTATTGTGACGTTGGTATCGCGTTGACCTATCGATTGAACCATTTCTTTATACGGGCTTTCAACTTTTACTTATAGTGTTGTCCTCGTACGACTATCAATTTAATGTTATCTTAAATTTTGATTTTAAGTTACTATGCGCATATCGGGTTGGATGAGAAAGGGCACCTTTCAAAACATTTCATAACGACTTTCCAGATAGAAACATTGCAGAAGGTGGGTTTTTTTCTCGAAAATTTAACTTTGCATGCACTATAGAATGTTCGAAACTTGAGACGGTGTGCGCACTGGATACTCTACAATCTTTTAATTTTTTTGGGAGCACGATTTACATCAGTGTTTCTGGTATTTTTAGTTTTTGGCACGCAATAGATTCTTGCCAGGCGTGCCGTTCTTACTAGTTCTTGTCAAGCTAAATCTGCACCCAAAGGAATAAGAAAACATATACTTGAGCCCGTTTCGAGATGGCTGCTATGTTCACGCTCTCGTACATGTATATGACCAGACCTTTATGCTATGCAGCATGCAGTAGCTATGATTAGTCGGTAAAATATGGGGAAAACCAAGCGTAGAGCTATATGCATGATTCCTTTTCTCAGGATATCGGAAGCACAACAGCCCTCAGTCGGGTTTTCCAAACAAGCGAAGTAAAGTTAACCCCTTGCGAACTTCCGTGCCATAAGCCGTATTTCTACTTCTCGGTGAAGCATGCAGCCATTCCAAAGTGTTCCTATAGGTAAACGAAATAAAGTTTGCCGCGTTGGAAGCGTTTGTTGGAAATTTTAAATTAGAATTACCTAAAAAGGAATTTTCCATTATATCTAGAATTGGCTTCATTTGCATATGAAGTTAGCTGTAGGTTGGCGCAACTGTTCCACGGAAGCAGACAGAATCTTTCGATTGTAGGACCGGTTAGCAGCCATGCACCAGTAATAGCGGTCTTTGGAAGTGAGTGCATATATCCGCCGGCTGAGGCAAGTTTGTCCTCGAATAAATGAAGGATAAGGAAAGGATGGAAATCATACAAACTTTGAATCAACTATTATTCCTGTATGTATCGATTGACTTCATTCTTCGCTTGCATTGATAAATGCGCATACATATTCGTGCAGCGGTATCCTGTTCTGTATTCAGCTGCATTTGGCATCTATTTTAAATAATTGGCTTAAAGTGATGTTATATATAAATATATATCTATTGTGTAAAGCTTACTTTTTTTTAATTGTCAACAAAAGATGGAAGGTCTGTTCAATATGATGAAATATGCTGGCTGCATAGAAAGGCAAATATGCGTGGACGCTTGACGCAGAGTCTCGTAGCTAGTAGAACTTTCGTATATCCATACATTATCAGCATGCTGAAGTTTATACTTAGATCTAGGCCTTTACGGGACCATGATTAGCTTTAGGTTCATCTTTTCTGCAATGTCTCGCCCGTTCGTTATCCAACCATCAGACTCAATTACGTGAAAAAAAAAGCAGACACAAATAGAAAATATTGTAGTTAATTGTATGCGTCGCAGAAGCCACGAAACGTAATTTATTTGTTCGGCAAATACGCGCCTTAAAATAACACTTTGAAAACACTTCCAGCGTCAGCCATTTTTCAACTCGAAATTTTTCAATCTAATCTATGCGCCTGGTGTGGGATTGTTATAGCGTACCATTTAGTTTTGTTGTTCCAATGTGCAACACAATAGGTGTTACAAACATCTCCTTATAACACGAGATGGCTAGTTGCGGTGAGGTAACTCGTTATAAACTTCATTCCAACCTAAAGCTTTGAAGTCTGAACAGCTGACTTCAATCCTCATTGAAGCTAATTAAAACCTAACGACGTTTTAGTCTGTTGAGCTCGAACCAATATTCAATGGCCTTATTCTCCTCGCGCCATTGCGGGGTTGCCTGGCTCGACGCAAAACGAATGGCCCGAATTCTAATTCATCCGATACCTCATTCCTCCGTCCTTCATTTCGGCGGTGTTGGGAGTTGCTTAGTCACTCAAGTAGGAGTGACTGCGTCAATCAATTTGTCTCCGACCTCTCCTGCCTAAGTTATATACCATCATCGCAGTACATACAGCCCCGCACGCCTGTCTGTCTTTGGCATTACTCCAAAGTGGATTGGTTTTTTTTATATGGGAACGATGTTGAATATCGGCAATAACAACGACAGCAATCGGAAACAACGATTTCAGTCAAAGGCTGGACGATGTTCTAGGTTATTTGTTTCGCATTGTTGTACATCTGTGATTGATTACTTTGCCGTCTCAGTTCCATGTTCCATTCGCCGACCTTTTCACTTTAAAACTGTTTACTTCTTCTATCTCATCCTACCGCAATCGTATACAGGCACAACACCGGCCTGAAAGCTAGGTGCGAACAAATGCCGTAGAGCAGACTATTATTACTATAAAGAGAAGAGATAAATCAGCAACGCCTGGCTGGTATCCAACACAGGCTGGGCCTAGATCGTAAGGCTCTCTTTACTGCCAGAGAAGTACAGCGACTTTTCATCATGACTAAGTTCCCGGCAAGACTAGGGTTTCAGCCTTACCTTGCGCGGTATGCCATTGTTTGCGAAGAATAATACAACAGCGAGAGCAATAACAAACGACAACAACGTCCACGACGACGACGAATGTGTTGAAGCATCTGCTTCAACGATGTTTCAAGCTGCTATGCAGCAGCTTTTCGACACCCTGGAACATGATTCACTAAGATCCTTTCTACAGGACAATAGAGTGTAGATCGCGCCAACTATACAGATGTAGGAGCAGATGCGAGGAACTGTTGGCTGATATTAGTGGTGATGACAACATTCTTGTTTGTAGCCGGCCCGCCGCCGAAGCGTCTGGGGAAATGCATGAACTGGGTTTTATATGGTCTGTAGCGTATAATCATATTCTGCGGTAGCAAACATAATTGGTTGGAACAAAAAATGCCCATGATTAATTTGGTAGTATGTGTGAAAAATATACCTAAGCAATAAAAAATTCATTCGCAACGTCAGTGGCCAAATTATTATTTGTTTTGCTCAGAATGAGAAGCTTGGAGGAGAGCAATATGCCCCACTCTGCTATGGTGCCTTGCGCGCGCAGTCATAAAGTTGCTCAATATGTAAATTCCAGCGAAAATTAAGTCTGAGTCAATGAGAGAAGTAAATAATAAATCCATTCCTTCGAGCTTTAGTTAAGGAGAAGCACTCGCTTTGTGGTCCTTCAGTTTTCAAATGAATAACAGTTCTCAAAGCTATTTACACGGATCGAATTATTGCGCTATCGTAAAGCTCATTAGGTACCAAATGGACACATCTAGGCATTTGCATGAGTTTATTGCTGAAAATAGCTTATTGGGTAGAAGGTACATGACGTTACATCTAGTTAGCGATGGATTAAGGTCAATACATAATGGTGAGAATAGCTAATAATTGTTGTATTAGTACCTCATATTCTAGGTCTAGGATCGAGCTCGTTCCGTGCTGAGAACTAGTCGTCTGGTGGCGTGTCTAACGGCGATATCGGACGTCAAAGCTCGAAACACGGAGTACTTCAGATTTTGAACGGATTTCAGCGAAGCCCGCGTCTCACCCACGGCTGCAATTCCATTTTTACTAGCAACACGGCACACAAGCGGATTAAAGACGATAAACAGAGATGTTCTTTACGCGGCATGAATTTATATCTCCTCTACCCACGCATTACCTTCGGCGCCGTCATCGTTCTTAACAGCAACAGTGCTGTCGCCACCAGCAGTCATCAGCTAGGTAGGTTCTGGTGTTGTCGCTTCTGTCAATGCGTTCCCGTGGATAACAGGAAAATGCCTTCGCTTTGCCCTTCTTCTTTTTGTCCCGCATCTCCCTGTCATAGTTCAGTCACTCGTCATATTTCAGTAACCTAAGGCAAAAGCGCGCCAAGACGGCGAGGAAGGGGTACAAGGTGAAGCCACGTCTTAACTGAAGTTCCAGCTCGAGATCCAGCTCGCACACTAGCCAACAATGCTAAACAGACCGCCAGGGCTATTGGCTCCGTCGCTAGATTATACTTGGACGCCAGCGCTCCGTTAGGTTTGGCCGAGGCCCGTGGAGACTTCGCAGCGGAGCAACGGCGACAGACATAATAGAACTAGTAGCATTTGCTGTCGGCTTCTTGCCTTCGGCTGTCGAGCGAAGGGGAAAAATAGGATTACGAAGAAGCAGGCAAAAACAAACGAACAAAAGATACAACAACGCACGAGCGGAGGCGGGTAGCCAGGGGCCGCTACAGACTCCGATGAACCATCCGCGGTTACACGAAGCATGCATCGATTTTTCTTGGTTTCTTTATGAAAAATATAAAAGTCCATTTATGACAATGTTTCCGAACGCCGTTAGAAGTAGAGCGCTCTTGGTAGTCGTAACCTAATGCTGTTGAACTTTTTAACTTATCTTCTTTTTTGTCTAAATTCTTACTTTCTACTCAAATCAAATATAAAACAAAAACTGAAAATGTGCACGTTGCTACATCAAATACGGTGTTTCGGCTTCTTAACAATTCTAATTATAGCGATGTAATCCGCTATAGACCAGCTAAGCGGAATAAATATGTCATAAAGTACAGTCGAATGGATAGATATAAGCCAAGGAAGGGAGATCACTAATGTCATATTATTTTAAAAGGCCTAGGATGTTTGCGCACCTTCATTCTGCTTTTTTTTTTTCGATTCGCCTTCGAAGGAACATGAGTTCGTGAGTAACGCTCTAAGATAGCTTGACTTTTGTATCTGTTCTAGAGTTTGAACTCACAGTCCGTATTCCTCGATTTGGCTAATCTAGCTCAACGGCTTCAGGGATCTATCTTCCTCGCCTACTGGAACCTATGGGCCTTCGTCCTTTTTCTTTAAAATAAAACTAAAATAGGAAAAGTGAACGATGTTCAATCGTCAGTGTCCTTTCACGTTACCTTCCCACGTAAATTCCAGCACTACAGATTTCTAGGTAAACTACTGGTTTCTATTATCTTCATTCTTGAGGCTGTGCTTGTCTCCGTTCAAAATGACAAAGGTAAAAGCATCTCTACTGGCGCTTAAATTGCCGCACAGACTTGCAATGCCATAACTTCAACTACGAATGGTTAGAAAACCATCATGATTTAAATAAGCGAACTTCGGTGCTTCTTGGCCGTACGACACAACGAATGCTGAGTCCCTTGTTGTATCAAGCTAGCTCTATAAGTGAGATTATGCGTCACGGGCAACACAGTTTTTTCGAGACTTGTACTATAAACATCGAAAACCTTACACAAATTTTATTAAATATTTTTTATATTAAGCGTGAAGGCGACGTGCGTAAACCTCATATTCTTTACAACTATTATGAAACAATGTGCAGTATGAAACGCGGTCAAAATAACTGTATTGTTTTTGATGTAGCTACAATATACCGAAGATTCTTCTAACTCGGTCACCCTCCTCGATCATCAGAGAACTCGCAAAAGACAAAGGTGACGATAGTTCCTCTATTTATATCCGATTCGTTTACTGTATTTGGCAAACGGCTTCCATTCTGTCTTTTCGCGAAACAACGAGCCTGCACTATTCAGTGGCAGATTGTTAGGCAGTCCTCATTTTATTTGAAGCCGACCAGCCATCGACTGAAAATCGTATAAGCCAGACGAGCTTTTTTTTGTCGCTAGCTTTTTCATGCGATATGAGCTTCAGTAAGTACTTAAGGTACGCTTAATATTTATGGGATTAAACCCAACAAACGTCTGGTGTTCTTTCCATTGCTTTAGACATTCGTAGAAACATCGTGTGCACTTCTATGAAAATTAGAAGCGGTAACAGCGCGCATTTGATGGCATACTCTAGCATAATTTTGCCATGCCATGTTTTAAACAGAGAGAGGTTTGAACACTGAAAACGAGTGATATTATTTGTATACATACAACCATTTTATTCATAGCTCTTCTGTGCATCCACCATTTGTTTTTATATTAAATAGTATTAATCTTTCTTTTAAACTGTAAATGTAAATAAATTAAATAGGTTTTCATTTTCTCACTTGTTTACACCACCGCCATTAGAAGAGTGTCAATAGACCCATTTACGGGCTTATCGTGATTTATACACTGCGCATTGTTGCAACCATACGCACGTATTTACCTTATATCCTATTTTAGGGGTCATCTCAAGCTTTACCGGTTTACTTGTCCACTATACGTAGACAAAATTTAATCTACCAGGCTTAAGGAATGCCAAAGTCATATTATGTACTGGCAGATAGAGGAGGCATGCTGATAAGTTTGCTACCCTACTCACCGCAAAACGTACAACAGTGGATTGCAGGTTGCCAAATACCATCAGATGATCCTTTCTTTAATAGGAAAGGCTAGGAAGACACTGGTCTTGTCGAAGACATGCTTCGATCAGTTGAGTTATCCCGAAATAAAAATATGGAAACGACCTCAAGTAGTAGACGCATGACGGTGTTTTTTGATGGATTGTGTGCCTTTTTTTTTAAAGATTTTCGGGATTGATAGGGAATTTTGCAATTAGCGTCGTCGAGAAATACTTGTACTTCAGTAATCTCCCGATCATCATCATCATCCCAATCTTCTTATAGAGCGTCTCTTCCGTACCAGATAAAGTTTGATACTGCGATTAAATGTCCGTTCCACTAGCGCATTAACGACCCTTCCACGGTCTGGTGACATTGTTGTCCAAAATCCTCCCTTCCAAGCCGATTTGTCCACATCAATCCAGCTCTCGCGTCGAGCGCTCAAAATCCTCCAGGCTCTATATACTTGACGCACCTAATTAGAGCGTTTGTACGTTTCGAGTGTATGTATATGACTAAATACCGATCATAGTGAAAAATGACGCCTTCGGTCGAGCAACAGCAGCTGGCTCGCTAATACAAATAGGCTAATAGACGTTAGAGACAAAGTGGTAGGCCTGCAGGTGGAATTACCGTACAGATCTGAATGCTGCACTTCGTGATGCTGGCGTTGATAATGCTGGTTATCTTCATGCTGATGCTCCGCCTCAGCGCCTCGGACGGCTCGGAGTGCTTCCTCGTTCACAAGTCGCGACCGGATATCGACGACGCGGTTCTCTTCGTCTGATACTTCCTCGACGTCTCTACGACTCTTTTCTCCGAGATGTCCTAAAGCTGTGCCATTGGCAAGTGTCAGGTAGGCCCGGTTGAGCTCTTTACAATCGAACCACCATTCAGCGATGCTGCGGGGATACGCCGGAGAACCGCTGTCAACCTGTAAATAGATAAAATGGTGGATAGAAGAACTAGACGAATCTTCTTTATTGTTGTTGCTATATGTTGACCGCTTTTCCAGTTGGATCGCTTTAAAACTGCACATTCAGGTAATACGAATTGCGACGTCATCGTTGATATCATATGAAAGTTGGCAGTACAACATGTCCTAAAATTGTTTGAAAGCTTTTATTCAGGCCTAAGAAGAAGAACATATAAGGAATTTCTACGAAATTTTACGACATACAACAATTTTATTTTAATAAAAGCACAAATGCTGTCGAGACCTAGCAAAAATGGACTCTTTATGTGCAAAATGCGTTATCGGGAGAAACGACCCGACCACGGTCCCTTCGTTCGGGAAATTTTGACGTTTAGAAGATGCTTGGTCGACCATTTAGCAGAATTATTTCGAAACTTCAGCGAGTAACCATTATATCGCCAAAAAATTAAATATTCACCACTAAACAGCCCTAAACCATTTGAAGAAAGCTGAGTACAAAAGAAGGTCGACTTTTAGGTGCCGCGCGAATCAACGCAAAAAGAAAATTACTAGATTGCATTTTCATCTGCAAAACTCTACGAATGCGTAACCGAAGCGAGTTATTTCCAGAGCGGTTGATCACGAATGGCGACAGACCGGATCACAGACCACAATAATATGTAAATAAAAAAAAAAATTTGCCCCTTAATTTGTGGAAAAGCCCGGACCCAAAGGTGAAGCATTACGAATTGCTGCCGCCTGGCGGAACGATTAATTCGAAAATTTACGATCAAGAACTAACGAGATTACAACGAACCATGGAGAAAGATCACCCGGAACTAGCAAATAGAGAAGACGTTGTGTTTTCACCATGATAACGTCAAGCCACATGCATCTTGCCCAGCTGCCTAACAAAAATTGAAAGGATTTCAATGGCCAGTTTGAATGCGTCCGCCTAGGGGCCTAGATTTGGCATCGTCAGACAGCATCTGTTCCGTTCTCTGCGAACCTTCCTTGGTACTGTTAATTTAGGAGGGATTCCGCTTAAAATCGGTTGTTACCTTTTCGACAGTGCTATATGCTTCCTTTGTAATTTTATACATTTTTAGTGAAGTTTAGGTATACAGATAAAATCGTCTCCTTGGCATTAGATATTAGTTTTTATCTAGCAATAGAAATAATACTTAGAGTCGAAATACAAAATTATCTATTCGGCTGCTACTCACAGTAAAGTCCTTATCATTGAATCTGTAATAGCTCTGTCCCTTGAAGAAGTACGTGTAGCCATTCTGCCACTGGAACGCTGCATTAATGTTAGACGGAATGCCTTCCCATACGGTGGAAATTTCCTGGGGGTACCTGCTGCTAACAGGTATTTTGGCACGGGAATCATATCGCCAGTACTGGTCGCCCTACAAAAACATACTCATCACGGTTATAATGGGGAATTTTCGTTAATTCATTGTTCTGTCTGGGCGTAGAAGGTCCTAACAAAAGATAATAGCATTCTGCAGGCCCACGCTTCGCGACGAAAGTGCAATGTGCGGCATAATGCAAAACCTTCAGCACAGCATAAATCAGAGTCCGACAGAGCCCCAATAACAAAGTTGTGTCGGATGGCCCGTCAAGCAGACTAATCGTAGCACTTCGTGCTGCCATTGGCCACTCTCAGCCGTCAAACAGTGGCTGGCAAGGGTTACTACTAGATTTGTATTTATTACAAATATAGTGTTACTCAAACGAAAGCAGAGGTCAAACTTACTTTGGCCTAGATGCAATTTTACATGTTTTACACCTGATCAGAGCACATTAGCCGAAACGTAATCGTTACATGTTCAAGCAAACGTTCAGTCACTGCCCTTCTTAGTTTTTTTTTTTCTAAGAACTCTTTCTTTACATTTCGTTCAGTATAAATCTAGTTTAAAATAAAGCGAACTAGCAGCTAGAGGTGACTATCATATTTACCTTGAAGAAGTAAGTTTTGCCGTTGCCACTCCATACAAATGCGGCGTCAATGTCATTCGGGATGCCCGAAAAGCCGACGGAGACCTTCTGCGGATAGCCGGCAGAAACGATTTTGTTTTTGAATCTCCAGTATAGTCCGCCTTTGAAGAAAAAGGTTTTTCCGTCCGACCACGTAAGGGCGGCATCGATGTTGTTTGGTAATCCAGGCCAATCATCATGAATTCGCCGTGGATAACCTGAAGCGATACCTTCAGGTTCAAGTTTCCAATACCACTCGCCCCTAAATACGTACGTCGATTTATCTTCTGTGCGTGTTATTGCGTCAACTCGGGCATCAAGACACACGTCTGGGCCGCCTGATGCAGGTCGGGCAGTTGTGGGTCGTCGCGTTTTTGATTGTGTTGGTGTTTTGCCTGCAGACGAAGACTTCTTTGGCCCGTAGAGCGACTGAATACCTAACAACAGCAGATTACTTCGGTCAGTTAATTGGTGCTGGAGATTATCTATCTCCTATGAAAGACAAAGGATGTCGTGACTGAGCTGCTATAAGACGCGGAAGTCATTTAAAGAGACTGGCATACCATATCGTGCCATATATATATACACATATGGTGTAATTTCATACTGGTCAAGAAGAAAGCTAAAAGCCACACGTATGATACATGTAATGAAACTACTATCTTAATGATGCACATGTGTACCTTCAATGTCATCCTTATCAAGCTTGAAATTAGGATCATAGCCACGATAGAAGGGAGCCATGAGTGCTCTACGGATGTCGCTGTGAGAAAGTCCAAGGGAGTGACCAAATTCATGGGCTGCTACCTGCGTACAACATTTTTATGCAGTTATTGAATTTGTAAAGTATAATAGTTAACGATATGTCACTACGTTCTATATAGTCGTCACTGCTCGCGCGTTCATCCTTTCTTTATAAAATGGGCGATATTTTATTTGTAGTTTTAAATCATTCCCTTAGAGTTTTGTCTCTGCTATTACACACATTTGGAAATGGCTGAACTACTTTAGTTACCTTCTCAATTCACGTTTGGAACAATAAAAATAAAAAAAAAACAGTTCGAAGCTAGAGAAAAGCTTTGCATAGTCCAAAAATAAGTACCGGTTCCCGCCAGCCACCTTTCTCCTGTTTGACAACTATTTTCATCGAGCTGATTGTGTCTCTTCTTGGCGTCATACTATATGGCTATTTACCTACCTATCTACCTGTTAATCTGAACATCTGTTTATGATCTACTATTTTCAGTTGATTAGCTTTGTTTGTTTCAGCTTATGCTGAAGACACAAAAGCAGCGGTCCATGAGTAGAAAAAAAATTCCAAACTAATTGAAACTACCGACGGACGGACGATGGAGAAAAACGGACTAAAGCAAAGAAGGCATCTTCTAATGAGCGATCACTGAGCAAGCCTTGACTGTTTCGTTTTCTCAACGTACCGCCTTTAGCCTCTTTTATTCGCTTTTCAGGTTGATTCATTCGACGAACTTCAAGGGAGGTTCAGCCAGACATCAAAGGACCTGGCACGGAGCTCGATGGGGCATGCGGCTTCCCTACACGGTGTAGTGACAAGTGCCTATGGGTGCTTTTCTGAGAGCTCATGTTATTGTTTTCTGTGTGGCGCAGGTAATACTGGTAGAGCTATGCTAATGATGCTGAACGCTTTTTAAGCCTAGGTACACGCATAGGTACAGGCATTTATGTGCCTTCGTTCGTATATGACGTTACCTGAAAGAGATTTATTCCTCCGTATTCATTAATTGTCCACTTTTCCGCATCATCGAAGTGAACATCGCCTCCGTATCGCGGGAAGAAGGCGTGTGCGAGAGTTCCTCCTGTTTAGTGACCACAAATAGCAAACACAAGCGATAATGTAAAGGGAAAAAAACGCAAGACTGGCGTATCATGTCTAAACAATAACCTTATATATATAAGGTTTAGTGAAAAATTATCTTTGCTTTTAGGTATTTCAGTTTATTGTAACTGTCAAATAAATGGAAGTATCTCAATCAAAGCAGCGTTTGTTTCCTTCGCCCATCTTTTCGGTGGTTCAGGTATCCAGAAGGTCGCCCTTGAGAGCGATACATTTGTCGTTCCTGGCTAGTCTGCTTTGACCGGGACAGCCATAAATCAGACGGAGCGATGCCCGGGGTCGCACGCTAGGTAGGGTAGAGTTTCTCATTGAAGGTCCGTTAGCGTTTGCTGGGTCGTTTAAACAGCGTGCAATGTAGTATTTTAATACAGAAAGATCGCTTCGGGTTATTCTTTGTCTGTCCGACATCTTTTCCTGCTAATTTCGTGCTCAGACAGATGAGCTTGTCTTTCTGAACAGTCTCTTTCCACCCTGTTCTAAGGTGATAATAATAACATAATATAACACTCCCCTCTCATTCTACCATACGCGGAGATATAGCTTTTGACCATAATTAATTTTTCGTGGCGTCGAACTAGCTTTTCGGGATCCAGCCATTCCGCTTTGAGGTTGGGGCTGTCGTAGAATTTCATCTTGTGTCACCGGTAGCTATGTATATAGAAATGAATTTTTGTCGTTCGAGCCACTAGAGCATACCGCTAAATGGTTAGTGAGGTCACTTTCTTTGAGTTAACGGAGAACGCATTTTCTACTTTTTCTGCATGGTCTTCTAACCGATTCGTAGCAGTATACAACGAGCTCTCGGGTTGTTTAAGCTCGTCGTCGTTCATTCGTTGTAGCCATCAGGAGCGTGATTTGTCGCTCAAGTTCAAATCTCCAGTTCAGAAGCGTTTACCCCAAATTGGCAGGTACGAATGTTTACCGCACGTCCGCCCTTTACATAGCACCCATTTTTTTCAGCGGCAGCTGACTGAGCGCACCAAATCGCCGTTTCAGAAGACAGGAACTGGGTAGAACAGTAAAGCACATATCAAACTGTCAAAACAATCACCCTGTGAAGTTTTAGTTAAATGCAGACAGGCGATCCGTTGTCTAGCCTCAACTTTTCTTATTCGTATATAAATAAACCGTTTTACACCGTCTGACGTACGCTTATCAGTGAAGCGAACCTATAATTTGAGATGTAACTGATTTAGTAAATTGGGTAATAATGCATTAGATTATTATGTAGGCCATCGTGCTTCCACGACAGTTACCACAGACTATACCAATATATCTGCAATGATACGGATGCGTAAATACAGGAAGTCTATGTGCTAATTTAAAAAAACGCATCCTTCAATTTGCGTGTTCCGATCGTCACGCTACGACTTCTGTGCTATTACAGCTTAATTAGGCAGCTGCATAATACAAATGTGTACTACCACTGTCAAATTCATAAAATAAACCGTGCGCGAGATAAACCGAGAAAGCAGGCCCAAACATAGTTAATTATTGGGCCCGCCAATCGTTAGATGGAGTTGGGTAGTTGTTTCAGTGGGACGTAACGACTAGGAGAAGCGTTCTCGGTTCTTCTAAGGGAGACAACACGCGATCAGCTCATTGTTGGATATGCATCGTCGACAGATCTGCTGGGAATAGTTCCGACAGCCGTCGTAATAGCACTGCCGAATCTCGATTAGGGGGAGGAAGAAAGCGAAGGGAAAGGGTCTAAAGTAATAAAATCCCTAATGGGGGCTTCCATGGGTTTAATTATAGGTTAAATCTACGAAACAGCTGCGGTGAGAAACTAAGGACTTCATTAAGATCTGCATTGATCCGCTAACTTAACTAGACTTAGACGGAACTTTGGTTGATTGTCTATACGCAAATGTTCTTAATTATCGAAAAATACTATCTTTTCTACCCATTTTCCACTTACAGAAACATAGCTACTATGCTAACTCAAACGAGATCTCGTTTGAGAATGCATAATGCGTGAGAGTTGCCAAGGAACAAGTGTAATTAAGTCCCAAATCAAGGCCGTTCTTTGTCCTGCACTACCCTTCTGCGCATAGTACGATAGATGTAACCTACTCCTGGACGGACAATTCGTAAGACTACTTGAACGTTTGTACTGGAAGTCTAGCTTAAAGATAATCGAATTGGCTTCCTAGCTTGATCCTAATTGTGTCGCGGTGTCACTCCTCCGAGGCCTTTCCCAGGGCGTGATGCAAGCCGAACGATCAAAACCTATATCATGTTGAAGTTTAATAGACGACAATAATTAAAGAGTAGCCAAATAAAATACCCTACATTAATAAACCATCCATGGTAGAGTATTTTGATTTTCGCTCGTGTGTGACGAAACTCTGGCGTACAGCTTCACGGCCAATCAGCTTCAAGATGCACTCAAATGGATTAAGCGGCTCACATCCAACTAAGCTAATCAGAAATAGTGGATGAGTAAGTAATGAGGGGCATCTCATACAGACTTAGTGTAATGCACTATGGACTTCATATTAACAACTGAAAATAACAATAAACATTTGTAGTATTACCTGCGGTCACAGGATCTGTGACCATTTAGCCGATAAAAAAAAAATGTAATATTATAGGCCAGCCTATACTAACCCAATGCTAGTAGGTTTGTTTATATCGACGGTTCTCGGTTAAAATTGATTGATTAATTCTACGATTCCACTCGTTCCCAAACAAACTCATCCATACCTGCTCCCTGAAATGGATCTCCGTCGCCATGTTCCCCTTTTACGAATTGAATATCGATATGAACGCTCCCTGATCGTTTATGTGTGAACGTCAGTGGAGTATAGTCGCTCCAGACTTTAAACGCTTTTGCCACTTCAGCGTCAACTTTTACCTAGAATTTCAGAATAGGCTGGTTAGAAATGCTCATTACAGATATTAAAAAAATTAGCTATAACTGTTTAGGTTACCACCTACGAATGGCAAACGCTCCTCGAATAGAACCTAATTAAAAATGCAGACAAAGCCTAAGAATATAGATGATTTTTATTGTTTGCAATGTTCCTTCAGTTACTACAGCTTGATACTGGTCGTACCCTGCTCGTAGGTGCGACCTGCGCCAAATGCTTTATTCCGCCTATGAAATTTCACCTTTCTATTCCTTTGCGATCAATTCGTGTGAAAAAATATATCAATGACTAGGATACAGAGCCTATTGAAACCCGTGCTAATGATGAATAGATCCATAGGAAAGATTTACGTACATCGGAAAAGCTTAGTTTTTAGCAATCCAGCATTTGTCTTCATTCGATTATGCAGTTCAAGCGTATGCTGACCACCCTAATAGGACACGACATCATTAGCGCGGTGGTAGGCTGCAGTCAGTTTGACTTGCCAGGCAATGCTACTTTTGTAGGTATACAGATTGTAACATAGTTTCGATTCGTTTTTAACTTGTCAGAGATACTACACATTATCCTTCGGAGAGGATCTCTGCTGGTAGCGTTTTTTTTTTGTTGTTTTTTTTTTTTGTTTTGTCAAGCAATTAACAATGTTACGGTTAATAACTTCCAAGGTTTCCTGCTGAACTATCGTATATGATGAAACGTACAGCCAGATAAGAAAAGGTTGTATTAAGTAAAATTTAGACTAAATGTTACACAAAAGCGTTCATTGAGAGCACTATTGGCTTGTCAGTTCTCCGACTTTAACAAGCGTTGCTAGTACAAGCGCTACCATAACATTGTCCAAAGTTTAAGTTACACACTTTATTTTTAATGCTCGATTCCGTTAGTGGCCACTGGCCTATTACTGAGTGTATTTAGGTTTAGCTGTTGCTCGCGACTGCTTAGAAAACAAGGTAGTTTTCTATTGAGATAGTTTTCCGTTTGTTTGCTTTCAATCCAACGGCACCTTTGACTCAACCAGCATTGCAAATCCAGAAATTTGCAAGTCTATAAGTTCTACGAGAGACGACCGCGTCACCTTCGGGCACTTCAGGGGTAACCCCCTCGACACCATTCCACCCTTCAATTGAATCTGGACTTCGGATCACTGGCAAACTTCCATTATTAATTGCACTACAACTTGCAGTATGTATAAGTGAAAAATCACTTGATGTATCTATGTTCTATTTTCATGCGTGTATATATACTATTATTTAATATTAATAGCAGAGAATTCGTGTCAAGTTTGTGCACCTAACAACTGCTCAACTAACGGTGCTTCAAACTGTTGTCACATTTATTTTTTGCGGGCTCCTAGTTTCCAGCAGGACCCGTTTTCACCTTCCCTCCTTACTGGCGCAATGTCTCTAGTCGATGGGTAAACGGACTATAGGAGGAAGTAAAGGCTATTTCTAGTGGCGGGCCCTACGGCAAGCACTATTCGCAGAAATCCTTGACAATCTACTGCCGCAGTGAAGAGAAAATCGATTAATTATATATTCGTCTTCTCCGGCTTCGTCCATAATATAGCATACATACATACAATAAACGTGGCCCTTCTTAAAACTGCAAAAAGTTGGGATTCTGAATGTTGTGGCAATATAATATGCTCTATATCTGTTTCGTTCCTTCAAGACAAATTGCGGTTATAACATAAATAATAATAATAATCATGATGCTGACAACGCTCTGCCGTATATTGTAGAGTTGCAGAGAAATACATAAAAGCAAAAAGAGGGCAAAATTTTCTCTACTTAATACTTTTCATATCTAGAATAACAAGCCCTTCTACCTCTACAGTGCATATAGCTCTCAGAGCGTTTATTAGACAATTACGTAGAGTAGTAGCATTATCACGCTCTGATAACAATTTTCGCTCTAAAACATGCTCGCAATGCATTTCCTTTTGTTTTTATCCTTCTGCACTTGTTGCCGAATTAAGCAAGGTCGGTTTGGACCCTAAACTGTGTACACTATGAAACAGGCCACTGCCCTATAGAAAAGACGACCATAGCTGTTTTGAAGCAAGACACGGTAGAGAGAGACGACGAAATTACATTGTATCATAGCAATGAGCAGTCGTTCATCGAAGTAACGGATCGCACCGCTACATATTTATACGGCATAAAGAACAAGATGTTACGCACGCAAATTAATTGGTATTAGCTCCTTAAAACGGTATCAAAATTATGTCTCAAGAATAATATCTTAGCTACTATTGAACTAGAAACAATAACGTTCGGCCTGGCCAATCGTGGCCAGACGTTTGTAATCTTCTTCGGACAAAATCTTCAACAGCAGATGGCCGGTCGTAGTCCAGATGATGGAATTATCTAAACAAGGTTGATATGTAGGCCGAACTAACCTTATCTCGAATTCGTGTCGGATACTTTGAAATGCGGTATGTGAGATCGCTATTGACCCATTTGGAACCCTGTAACACATAGCGTTTGGCTCGCAGGCCATTGCCGACCATGTCCTTAACACCACACCGCGGTGTACTCATCATGTTGGCTGTTTCTTGATCCAGTTCACCTGGAAAGTTATGCCGACAAAAAGGATGTGAATATAATGTATTTTCACATGGTGATGTTTCTATTCTTTGAGTACTAAGCTATCTATCATTACCTACGTAACCGATAAAGTCCGCTGCAGCCGCTCGTTGATTGACCTACAAAAACATATTGATAATTGTTTTGGTCGTATGTGGCTGAAATTCAAATCAGTGTAGTTAAAGTATTCCCTCTGAGCTCGTTTATGTTTTCTGTCGATTTATATTATAGAGCGAAATTGTAGATATTATAGAAATTTGATTAAATATATTTTTTTCTTTTATCAACGCCCCATTTCCGGCCTCTTGAAGCCATAAAGATAGCAAGTTCTCTAGTATTTCATCTATGCTTACAGTGATAAGGCAAAAAAAAACATAATTTGATTAGTTTTTAAAAAAAAATATAACAGTTTCAATAGTAGATCAAACAGTTTCATCCACTTTACACTTGGCCGTTTATGGCGCTATTGATACGAAAAAAATGGTTACGATTGTGTCCTTTTAGTTCCTTTTCAACGTCACCTTTACAACGGAAACTATTCTACAGTCTGCCATAAGGCCCTTCTTCTTAGTGTGTCTATTTGGTGATTAATGTTTCGTCGCGACGATGGTCAAAATTCAATTAGATGTGTCGGCGTCCATTTGCGTTAGTCCTACCGATCATCTAAACCTACTTTTTTGGCTCTTACATTTAACTATAGAGTTCATAAAGGCTCGAATACTTATAGAGACGGTAGTAAGAAGCATTTTTTATTTTTCGACGCTTCGATGTAAGCTCTACGCAAATTTATGGAAAGCTCTAGCGAATTTTCTCTACGAAATGCAAGGAAGAAATTCATAGGTTACGGTCAGTTAACAATCATTCGTGTTACCATAAATTAATCCTGAGATATTTAATAATTATTGTTGTTTATGGAGCATTTAAGCTATGGCTCGTTACCCACTATCTTTCAGTCACCGGCTTACATGAAAGATGTAGGTATATATATATATATATATATATATATATTTTTTTTAAATATAGAACGTTTGCTGAGTATTTATCATTTGTTCTTGCATTATCGCTTACGAATATGCTAAAAAATACGTGAATATACGTGAGTGCACAACCAGAATGGTATTCTTATCTTAAAGCTCTAGGTGCTTGATACGAGAAAAAGCAACCTCTTGTTGAAAGTATCAGTCCAAGGCTCTTACTTAGTTTATAATATGATGAGCAACAGATCCTTTAGTATTCGCCCATTCGATCAGCAAAAAAAATCCGCCGCTGTACATTCGCATCGAACCGGTGATATTGAGCTAGACTTTAAGTCTTCAATGACTTGGGAAGGAACACGTCCCTTGATGAGTTCGATCACGTACTTTGTGACCTCTCTCTAGTGAGTCATCACCGAGATGCAAAACAATAACGCAACGTTCGAAACAGAGGTAACGTATTAAAAGCAACAACGAAGTCGAGGTCAATGGATGACTAGGAGGTCGCTAAACAATGTTTAATGAGTTCCGATGTCGAGGTTTATTTTTAGTGCTCAATCTATCGCTTTTGGACGACATCCGATATCTATTCCATGTATATTTTTGGTAACTTCGTTCAATTCAGATTAACTTTATGCAGACGCACAACCCTTGTGCCGGCTAAGTGTCGGCCTGAAACGACTGAATTTCGAACGCCGTGGGCGAGATTAAAACGGCGGTTCCCCGACCATAGACACAGTTCGTTTTATTTCCCTTAGTACATTCATAGTTGTTTTTTTTTTTATTCGTGCTTAATTGGCACTTGCGTCCCGCAAATAATATAGAGGCGTTAGTCGTGGCTTTTTATACGTGAGAGTTCATGTGCCATATTTAATTAGGCCATAGTCGTAGGAAATAGATGAAGTCGTTTTTTCAGGTTAGCGGGAGTCTCAGGCGATGACATAACCATTTGGCATATTATAATGTAGCGCCTTCAGAAATCCATCCATTCGTGATAGCTAGTGTGCGTTTTTGAACCAGTTTCAAACAATGGCATTTTGGCTTGTACGCACGTACATTCGAAAAAAATGCTCATATACTGGGACTGAGGAAAATGATCCATCGTCATGGCTTGCCAGCAAATACGACGTCGCCCACCGTGTGCATGTTATGCGCTACGTGCTATACGTAGTTATGAAACTGTTCCTAGTTTCCCTACGCTACATTATGTTTCTTCTATACAGTCGGCTCTGTGCAGACGTTAGACCATTTAAACATGAGGGGATGCTATTTGGATTAATTCGATGTTACCTCATCCGGCAGACGACATATTTTTGGATTAGCAACGTTCGCCGTACTCAGTGGCGTTCCCTGTTCGACGTATCGGCCAGTTAAATAAACCTATGTAGCACCACAAGAGATCTCGTATGGAAGCCAGTGTGCGTATAGGGGTGCAGGAATCGAGGAACAGCATGTAAACCGACGACACTGGTTAGAAAATAGGGAAGACGAAGGTGCGACTTGCCGGCTAAGTTAGTGAGAGCTACTAGCAGTGGTCCACTTTGTATGTCGATGTCTGTAACACGAACGTGTGCTCACGCTTGCCGATAGTACAGCGAACAACGTTGGGGTGCGGGGGCGACTGAGTACGGCCGCAGCCATGAGCAATAACTGTCAACTACTACTCCGATACGGCGACCCTCCTTGGTTCGCTTCGCTTGTTTTCGCACCGAATTCTTCGGGGATGTTCAGACTCGTCGGAGGAGTAAGACCTGCTGGCACTCCACAACTCCGTTCGCGTTGCTACAAAGCATCCCTTGTCTTCGCCACAGGCATCGCCTGCATTTTTTTCCAAACCTGACAGGAGGTAACTCGCTGTTCGTTCTTTAGCGGCACAGGCGCCATTGCTGTCGTCAACGATCACTTCGTGTATTACTAAGATTATTCGAAAAAACGAGCGCAAGGGCAACAAGCAGCCTAGGTGACATGGGCCAAACTAAGCATATGGGGCGAAGCGAAGCTAGCTGGATCGGCTACAAGCGATAATATTTCATTTCATAGTTCGCAGCCGCTGTTAGGTAGAACACGGTAACAGAACCTATTGAAAACAGAATTCAGCCCACTCACTAGAAATATTACGTCCCGTTTCTGTAATTAATGACAAGCCAACATATAGCATGCCTTGGGCCACCGAAATGCATACCATCATGGTGAAATCGTGAAAAAAATAACACCAGTAAAATTCCTACTCGAGAATACCGAACTAAGGTAAAAATTGATATGTTGCCAACAATATAGAATCAAAGCGTAAACAATTTCGTTCTATACTTTGTCAATTGAATTATAGAGTCGAACGGATGGGTAGTCTCTGCTTTGGAAGTGCCACAAGCTTTTAGGAGCCCGGCACAATACCCCTGAACGATCGTTCGATGCGATAACGTTGCGTTCGAGTTATTCAATAGAAAAAGCAGTCAAATGACGCCAATTTGTGTTAGATCTTTTCTACTTTGTTGTCACTGCGTGTTTAATTTAAAAAAACAGTCACCGATTCGATCGACTTCAAGACGATGTACTACTATGCCACTAGTTTTTGCCATTAGTAATTTTTATACCATCTGATTATATATAGTATTACAGAATGAGTCATAGGACAACAGCTTAGTTCAGTTATCGACAAACAGAAAGTGTTCGGATAGAGGGGTATTTGTATGGATGTAAAGTAATGCGTTCACGTTTAGACAAGGATATAACTTGAACTTTCAATGTTTTCGATTAAGAATTTTCTGATCGATATACTGCTTCGACGAGCGTTCCTCCGCGAAGCCAGATCAAACATACATCTGTGGGCTTACCTTTAATGAAAAAGCTCGTACATACATTTGAAACGCACGTGTACATTTTTGCCAACTCCTAAAGACTAATGGGCTATAGCATTGCGATAGACGTTAAGACTAAATACCGCGAGTTAATAGAGGATTTTAGGGCTTTTGTAAGCCAATTTTTGGTCACCACCGATGTATTGTAGCAACACGAACATGTAGATTCGTATTCAACATGGAAACATGACAACTGCAAAAAACTCCTACACACTTGAGTTGAATCCAGGTTTAGCGGCAACCCAAAAGCCAGCGGGCAAATTAGCCACTTGTTGCTATTGAAACAAATGCACTTTATAGCACAACTGCGAAGAAACATCGCACCTGATAAAAACATACACGTTTTCACCGTATTTATGAAACGTCTTTATTTCCAAAAGTAAAATTGTTCTGGAAATTCATGATAAATCTTTGAACGAATAAATGTAAACTTAATTTATGTGTTCAGTTCGAGTATATGTCAAAAGGGCGCTTACAGCAGTCAACAGTTGCCTATCCTCAATCCTTGAAGCCCTAATCCCTGGAGATTTGGGGAAATAGTGTTTTTGTGTGTATCCATTTGGATACTATTTATGTTTAAATATTATCTTCAGCCTGTTATCATCGATATCATGTTATTTGGAATATACACTATGATTTGTGGAGTCCAAAGGGTACAAGTGTACAAATCGTCAACGAGTAGTGAAAAATATTTTGTCCCAGAAAGCAACCGGAGTGGCTATTTTAGTACGACTTTTGCGATTATCTTAGCAGATAATATTAACAAAACTTTAAAAACGTCTGTCTTCAGACAAATTAAATTGGCGCGTAATCAAAAAACGGCGATAATGAGATTTCGCGTCTTAATCTTTTAAAAATTTATAGTAGACCTTTGTACAGAATGATACTTTCGATATTGCGACAGCTCTTTAGGAATCCCATTTTTAGGTCGCAATTATGCTAAATTCAAGATGGGAATTTCTAGTTTTCAGCGAATAAACGAGGATTTACTATTGTTATGGTCGCTATCCAGCGCTGTCCGGGACGAAATGGCTTGTACAATAACAGGCCGGCCTTTGGTTAAAGAACCGAAGCGATCTGCTGTATCGGTTCCAGTGCAAAATAGACACAGATAAAAAAAAAAAAGCCTTATTTTAGGACACTCGAACACGCGCTGGGTATTTTGTGATATATTTTTGCGGAGAGATATTTGCAGCAGACAAATGTCGTTCTTCTGGAATAGAAAATGGCGGAACCTGTTCGTGTGACTGTCGCGAATGGCCTCTGGGGACCAAATTATGAGTCAACGCAAATCGTGAAGGTACCAGCCTATCCGTGATGGCCTAGAAAGCCCTAAAGAGGACCCTCATTCTGCATAACAAGTACGGCCGAAGACGCGGTATAACTAAGCGATTCGTGATAGAATATGGTATTACAAGACAAGACTTCAGTCATAAGACAAGACTTACAAAAAAAGTTTGATATCACACCCGCGTCATGACGATCAAATTTAAAAGACACAAGAACGTTTATAGCAAGGGCTATGTTGAAGGGCCTGAATTTCAAGCAAGCACAAATCGTCAGCGTATGTCTCGAAAGGACTTTAATGCGGTCAAAAAGAGATCTCAACCTTTGTTTTCGCCAGATCTAGCCCCTGCGACACCTTCTTCTTTCTAAACCTTAAAAAGAACCGAAAGGGGAAATATTTGGGCGGGGCAAAGGTGCTCTGGTTAAAATGAGTTCAGTTCTAGATCTGAACGATAAAAAAAATAGCTATTTACTCACCAGTAACGTTTATTCCGGCCATTCTCTGGAAGTTTTCGATGGCCCTTCGAACGGCCCGTCCATCGATGAGAGCCGCAACGGATCGGTTGTCCATTCCTGAACTCATCGAAGCCATGTATCCGTATTTTTGCAAGTACAGCTGTAACAAACGACAGGAATTAATTAGCTGTTCTTTATTATCCTTAGAAAAAGTTTGGCCTGTTTTTCAAAAAGCTGTAACTATTATGTTCATCCTTTGTGACCATCGTCCAAAGTTACCTAATTAAATCCTTCACGTTTTTTTTTTGTATAGACTCAGCGATTTTAGCTTTCAGTTATACCATGTTCGAGATAAAGCTTGTCTCTGACTTTATAGCTTGCATTATTTTTATCGTTTATATCAATACACATCAACAAACGTTACGATTAAAAATATCGATTTCGTTAAATCAATTATTGGTCCGTTTTTTATGTACCTGTTAAGCCATAACAACATTTGACCAGCAATAGCAAACAAAAGCGCGTATCAGTAACCACCAGCGTCCTTCGCATATATGGCATTTTGTCTTCGCTCTTTGCGGCGCAACGTACCATTGCTAATTCTCTCTTCACGCCATATATTGTAATCCTGAAAGTAGGACGGGCCGAGTAAAATTGACGCTAAAAGGCCAGCATATGGCGGAAACTATTATAGAAAGGAACTATTATTATCTGACGTATTTTTCTTCTACTATCTCTAGCGTTGTTTACTTCCTCTTGCCAAAAGAGTTACGTTGTTGTTGTTATTATTGTTACAATGATCATCAATACATACGCCGAATATACAGTGATAATAGCTAAGTTCCCGAACGTTCGTCTTCCCGCAACGCATCTGTCTTGCGTGAACGTCCCTGCACCACTACTACTACTACTACTACTACTCAGGCACGTAAAACTGAAAAGCGTCGTCATCACCGTGACGACTAAGCGTATACTTCACCTATAACACAGAGGTCCAAAGCGCGTCTGTTGCAGAATTTCATATACTTTCTTTGTTGGATGGTGCCATGCAAATGGATTCTTTTTGTAGCAATTCACGCTGATTGATTATTATAATCTGAAGCGAAGAAGCGTACAGGAGCGTAGTAAAGCGTGTCAGTGAGCCCCATTTATTTATTCAGTACTGAGTTAGAGTGAGAAGCGTCTTTGGCGGCCCTCGTGCGCTCTTATTAGTTTGATTCTGCGCGTTCAGAACACCTTTGAACACGCATCAGGATGGCCTCTGCTAAAAGCTGCAATCTTGTGTCTTGTGGCGTTCATCAGACGGCAAGCAATTGTGTGCTTTACCTCGGCTACGATTCGTTCCGCACTTAATTCTGGTTACTGACTGTTAACTAATTCTCTTTCTAGAAAAACTATGCAATTGTCATGCCTCTTTCTGGCCTTAACTACCCACGGAAGTTAGTACATTTAATCGAGGGACGATAGATAAAGGCACTAATGCTGATAGGACTTATTCGAACGCCGTCGAAGATCAGCGCGCCTGATTAAAATGAACTGAGTATTGGACCAAGCCAGGAAGACATGAGCATTTCCCACAAGTCTCTATGCAATGCTTTGCCCACGTATCAACGCCCTTCCAATTAATAGTAGATTGATACATTTGACAGTTTAACGCTTTTTTTTTCGCAATAATAATTTATCGAACTTTTTGGGCTCCGACGTTAGTTCGTTCTCGACCTTTTATGAAGGTGTTCGTGTTTCAGAGTGAAATTATTACGAGTAAATCATTGATTCATTTCTTCTGTATCACTTAAATCAGCAACATGAAGTCGACGGAAATTGCCGCTATAATTTTGTTCCTCCAGTTATAATATCTTATTTATACCATCCAAACGGCAGAACGCTACTTCTACGATCACAGTTCTCTTCCTCTGATTTAATCCTTGTTTTATGTCCATGGATTTGTGTTTTGGACGCTACGCCTTCTAAAGAAGCAACCTGTCGTCCCCGTAATTGCTTAGTGACGTATTTGCCAGCCAATCCTGCCGACACGTCGTGGACTAGGTTCGAACCCAACGGGAGCCAATACTCTGATGAAATCCCTAATGGCGATACTGGACATCAAATTCGAAGACCAACCGAATATTATTACTGTAATTTGAAAAAATCTACGTTATAAGACATTTCTATGTAGACCAGTTGGATTCCATTCCGGCATCGAATCTTTTTTTATAATCCAGTGCTTGTAGACCCTAGGTTCCACCTAATCTTTTGAGCAAATACATAGAGAGATATCCACACGCCTGTCTGGTCCGTATGTATATTGAATAGCCATTGCATATGTAACTCAAGTCGTGACCCTATCGTTAAACACATCTATCCTTGACCCCAATTGACACCTACCTTAGTAGTAAGCGGGAGTATATACGCGACCTTTTTGCGTTTTCGTTCATCATAATCAATCGTAGAATTACTATAACAATCGCAACATGGACTTCAGAGCTGCTGCATCATAGAAAGTCTGAGCAGATGACAAGCAACTGCGCATATAACAATTCGGTATTGATGAGTACATTCAGTTTCTCTTGGTCAGACAATACCTACAATACCAGTGTCGCGTATTTAGATGGCCACAGCAGATACACTGATATCATTCTCTTGTTTCGCTTTCAGAACGTTCGGGCGTTTCTGGCTATACACCTGTGGTACAGCTCAATCGCCAGATCTCTGCTGTTCGGATATCAGGGCGGCTGGACGTTCGCGCGACACGATTCTCTCTGCACTATTGCTCGCGACACGGTCACATTATAAACACACACGTTACGTTCGAACTCAGCTCCGAAACGTGCGCCCATCATCGTATAGGGGCGCACTTGTGTAAGCTTTACTTGCTTTTGCAGATGCATGATTACTTTTTGTTTTCTGTTGAAATTCGCTTAAGACAAACCTTCTAAACAGCTCAGTCCATACTTTCATAGACAATTCGTGTACAAGTATGTAGAGTACAAGGTGTTCTTAGCGTTAGGTGGGTTATTAAATCGACGCACCTTTCCGCCAAACACATTCACATTGCCTGGTATATTGGAAATTACGAAAAAAGGGAACTCTTTTATTAGTGACACGCCAAACGTTTGCACTAATTTTCGTGAGGTGTTGCTTCGAACGCAGATCGCGGCCAGCGTTAAGGCTTTGTTGGGAACGCGGCTCTGCCCATGCCACTATTACTGCAGCCATCGTCAGGAAATTTAGTCCCCGTCAGCTGCTGCCCGTTTGTCAACGCAAACAGGAAGCGCATCCATTGCCTGTGTCTCTCTCCCCCCATCTTTTTTCTGGAGTCTGTTAGCCCTTATACCGGTATTATTGGATTTGGCGTTTTCCCATGCTTTAAAATCAGTAGGACATGTCAAGCCAATTAACAAACAATTTCTGCTCCGTAGACTTTGATATCGTTGGTTCAACAGAGTGACTCTCGCTTGTAAGACGCGTACTTTGCCGCAAAGAAAATGGTATTTTCGACAAATGAAACGTTACTTCAAGATATACGTTTTACTCTAAACGCTTCCACCCGATTTTTTTTTCTGTCATACGCGCTCAAGGCGTTATATATATATATATATAGTTTGCCTCAAACATTTCAATAGCGCCAGCACCTATCTCTTATTGTAATTTGCATACAAAAACTGTCAACTTGGAAGAACAAAAGATAATCTTCCCCCTAGCCCACTAAGCGCGGTGACAGAAATAGTAGCGGCATGCATGACCCTTGATAGCTCTTATGTCAGGCAATAGCTGTAAGCCTGTCGGCCTATTGATAATGGACAAAATCGGGCTTCACGCAGTGCTATACTTATGTATGTGGTTGCATGATGGAAAAACAAACGTTCATTTCGGTGTGCAAATTGGTAATCATTACTAAACGTATGTCCAGTTTTCGTGTACCGTTTCGTTGTCATATGAAGTACCTGCTAGACGCCCGTAAGTATGATTATCTCGATGAAGCACAATACGGAACAGGAACACTTCTTAAACCTTTTGTTGTGTACAACAAATAGCGTAATTTATATTAGAATGGCAGCGTATCATCTTCTGTACATAGATTACTTGTTCACACCCATAATTAAAGAAAGGCCTCGCGGAGAATTTTCATAAGATCTGGATTTTGTCGGCATCCTACAGGAAAAACATATGGGCTGTTGTACGCAGGAATTATGACCACGAGAATTTAACCTTAGCCTATTTTCAACTATCCTATATTGTTTCAAACTTCGTTTTGTATCCACCATCCATAATGTTACAAGTTAACGTTGTATTCCATTGGTTATATTGCGGATTATTCGTTTACCGTGTGAAATGGCTGGTGTAAACATCGAGTATATAGTATTTAGCTGACGAGATGGAACAGCCTTGATAAGAAGTAGAAGGACGATACTCTTTCATAGATGGAGGAAGGTAGAAGAGGGGAACGCCTATTTCGTCGCCTGACGGGTCTCGTAGTAGCAATAACAATAATGACGATAACGTTAACAACAACAATCACAGTTAAACGTCGATGCGCGGAGTGTTTTGGAATCTAAGTGAACGCTATGAATTCGTTGTGGTATGATTCATCCGAGCTGGCGCGCGTCCCTATGGGAGCTTCACGCGAAGTTATAGCGGAAGCTACGATTCTTATTGAATCAAATATCAGTGACGATGACAAGACCGACAACGACTTCGATCGAGTACTTGGTATGTTGCAGCAGCTTTGGCCAACAACAAGGACCGAGGGTGAGCTAACTGCATGGGGGAAGCCTCAGTGATAACGAATTGAGCTAGACATCACTTATATATACCGGTGCACAAACATTTAAAGCAGAGCCGATTCATGCTTCATGCTTAATCAATAAATAGCAGGGGTCTGTTGAGAAATATCTAAAAAAAAAAAAAAAAAGCTAATAATACCTGAAGCTCAAAAAAACCCCATTCATTTTGGACGGTGGAAAGAAGGTCGGTCTTAGAATATTAGTTAGAATATTTTCGTGGGGGGGGGGGGTGCCTTTAGAAACTTACATAAATACAATTGCGCATTTATACAGTCTTGAAGAAGTTGGCGGATTTCGCCTGGCAAGGGAGTTCCTGATCGTTAGTTATATACGCCAGCAGATATAATAATGATAATTAGAACTGTTCGTAACACATATGCTTACTGCGATTGTTTTCAATTAATCAATTAACGGCTGTATAGACAACAACGGCTCACGTTTTGAAAATGAAAGCCGCTCGATTTGTCAAGACACTTTGATGATTTGGCAGTTTATCATGTAAGTCACTGTTACTATAATGGGGTGATTTGGGGTTTTTCCGTGTTCCATTTTCACCTATTATGCTGCGGTGTACTCAGTAACAACTATGAGTCTACTCGTGTTATTCTCAGATATGCACTACAGACGATATTTGGCACAATCCGAGCCTTTTCGTTGTGTGAGTCAAACTTCATTATAAGCAAACATTAGCAATTAATTTACTAGTTTATAAAAACAACCGATTTTATTATAACGCAGTACACGCCATGATCTTCTATAGCGCGATTGGCCAACTTGGATTTCATATGGCACAACATTCACCCATTGTTACTACATGATGAACGATATATACACATATATATAT